ATAAACAACGCCAATTTTCTTTTTTTTGCGAAATTATACAGTCGTTTTCTAGCTAGAGCAGACGTTGCATCCTGCAGTAAGGCATCGTTTCCTTTTTGCATGTATTTCTGAGAAAGATTTTAATCGACAAGTTAAGGACGAGGTTAAGCACTGTTTGAGGTGTGTAGTCACTTGTTCAAGTGTCCAACTCTTTGAACCTGGGCAGCGTAGTAGTGTCAGGTTCCTGATAACGTTTTGTTGATAACGTAACCGCCAAACGTGAGCGATATACCGGGTGAAACAAGGAGACGGTAGGCTCTTTAAATCGACCGGAAAATTCGGTTTCTTAACCTACCGCGCTACGACTTTGTGCAGCGTTGCCCACAGATGGTGCATTTTTTTCCTAAAATTTGCAAAGAGCGAACTTACCTGAGGAAAAAGTAAAGAAAGAAAAAGGCTTAGCTCCTATGGAAACGCAGCGACGCCACCGGTCTGCAATCAACAAGGCGCCGTTTCGCACGGTAGACAAGAGATGGCGCAAGCGGTCGCGACGCCAACTGCCGCCAACGAACGAGCAGACGACGCCGAGAACCGGCGTTTTTAGCAGACAAGGAACTGCAGTTGCTTGTTGTTACCGCGCCTGTTTTTGTTTCTGCAACTGTCGCCGTTTGCGGAACGCGCGCCGCTTTTGATTCGAAAAGATCGTCTGCTAAAAACGCTGGCTCTCGGCGCCGTATGCTCATTTGTTGGCGGCGTTCGTTGCGCCATCTCTTGTCTACCGTGCAAAACGGCGCCGTGTTGATTGCAGACCGGTGGCGTCGCTGCGTTTCCATAGGCGCTAAGCCTTTTTCTTTCTTTACTTTTTCCTCAGGTAAGTTCGCTCTTTGCAAATTTTACAAAAAAAAAATGCACCACCTGTGGGCGGCGCTGCACAAACTCGTAGCGCGATAGGCTAAGAAACCGAATTTTCCGGTCGATTTAAAGAGCCTACCGTCTTCTTGTTTCACCCGGTACTATGGCGGCATAAGCTTGCTCGTAACAAATACAGCGTCCATCACCACACCGACAACCAGTTGTGTTGGAAGGTTCATTTCACCTTGATTTAAAGCATCTATCAGACGATTAACTACCGCATTGTGGGGAAGTGTAGCCTCCAAAACGAAGTGCTCTCCTCACTATTCACACTTGAGTGTCTTCACAGCCACAGATGCGAAGTAACCAGCTACGTAGGTCAGGATAGGTGTCTTGAATGAGAGAGCCAATAAATCATAGTCGGTGATGTCGAATGCAAAAGCTAGACCACAAAGCAAAATACTCTGCGCAGGTGACTAGCATTCTAAAACCAAGAAAATATTTCACAACTCTGTGGAAGTGGTAACTCGTTCTAAAAATACCCACTATGCTTTCTTGAGACTACAAAAAATAGCCGAGTTTTTACTATGCTACCACCCTTTCAGGCTCAATGACAGTTCGGCAGTTCAAGAGTACAATAATGAAATTTAAAAAAAAATTACAGAAAGATCCAATGAGAAATCCTGAGGGTATGCGTTTGCATGACCCTTGGAAACGCCATTCACGTCCCCTTTAAAAAACGCTAACTCAGCCCCCTTCACTCTTCTTTTTTGGCTTTTTCTTTTGCTTCCTCCATTTTTTATTGCCTCTTTCTAACCTCACTACGAGGTTAAAGTTAGCTTTGCCCAACGTTAAACGTGAGTAGAGTTTCCAAGGGTCATGCTAACGTACTGTGTTTTTGGAGGAGGTGGCCGGTGTTGGTAGTGAGGTGGTGGTCCGAGAGGTGATGTCGGGTGCCGGCACCAGGCTGCGTGGATGGCCTTGCATGCCGGTGGTGGCGATGTCTTGCCTTGTCAAAGTCGGGAAAGGAGCGGCAGCCTCTGCCGTAGGGGTCGTCATGGCCGGAGAGCAGAGCGTCGGGTTCATCCGCAAAGGGGACCCGTAGCGGCGGGGGCCCGCGTCCTCGCGGGCCCCGCCGAGGGCGAGGAAGGACACCGGTGGCTGCCTACTTGTTTAATACGAATTACAGGGTCAACATTCAATGCACGACCTGAGCACGCGCCACTGCGAGTGGGGCGCGCGCTTCTCTGGTTCAAAATTCATTCCCTTACGACCGCTAAACTTGACTAAACTCAGGATACTACATAACGCATTTCCAAAGAATCCACTAATGGATCTTCCTGTAATTTTTGTTCACCCCTTTTCTGTACTCTGCCTCTAAGAGTACGTCGAAGCCCTTGGATAGGGACATCCATATCACTCGTGGAAGGAATAATGTCGATGCCACTCGTGGAAGAAACCGCATCCATGCTAATCGTGGAGGGAACCGCATCCAAAGTCTTAACTACACACACACATCACAACCCACGCACTGCTACTACGGAAACCCAGAGCGAAGAACAACCGGCGACGGCAGAGGCGGCCACTGAGCACGCCCGCATTCCACCGTGCCGCTTGGAAACATCTCCCAGATAACAAAGCCGTAGTGCTGAATGCGATGGCGTCATCAGAGAAGGTCAACGATGGGCACAGAATGGACACGACGATTCCATCAACGATCGACTTAAACCTGACTCGAAGCCGAGCACTGGCGCAGTACTCGCTTCCATTCAGTGTCCACCTTGGCATTCGCCTCCTCCTCTCTAACTAAAAAAAAAACGAAGTTTTTTTATTTTTTATTTTTACGAAAAACCCACTGGTGTCCCTCAGTTTGTCAGCGCCGGGGAGAGAGGGAGAGGTTGACACGTGTTGACGTCAGCGCTTCGGACCAATGGGAGCATCGCACGCGTCACTCTCTCCTCCTCCTTTTTTCTCTCACCCCGACGCTGCCAAACGAGACACCACCGGGTTTTTGTCACAAAAGATGTGTTCTAATGCTAACGCATTAAAAAAAAAAATTACCAAACCAGCACACCTTCGTGGAGCTCGTAACTCGAGCTTTCTTCTCTGGAATTGCCTTAATCCATTGGATACGCCTTTGCCCGTCGGTTGGAAATGAGAATATGTGAACCTTTGGTTCTCCAGCAGCGTAACTTCCCCTACATCCCGGCACACAACACCTATAAGGCATTGATTCTCACATTCGCATCACACACACGAAAACACAAGAGATTCAGGTCGACCCCGAACGCAGTGAATACGCGGACGACTTGTCTATACATTTCGAAAGGTTTATACGTTGCCCGTTTGAGCACCTAATGTTTGGCTTTGCATCACTTGCGAGCAGCCTGCAGTCTGGTAAAGTTGCATCTGCACGTTGCGCATTATTTTTTTTAGGTATTTTTTGGGATTTAGTCGGTATGACTGATATACAGTCTATCATATACTTTCATCTTTGGCGCTCAGAACTAGCGCATTAAAAGAGACGTTGCATAAAAAAAAATTGTGAGCCTTTCCACTCTGTAAAGGTGGTTGGCGAGCGAAGCTGTAGAGCATCACCACCAATGATTCACCAAGAGACACACAGAAGCACTTCACCAAATGTTTATTTACAGTATATATACCTTAAATTCTCGCGAGATGCACAACCCCCTAAAAATAGGCCACCTTATTTTTTTCTTGATTTGCAATATTTTTTTTTAAACAAAGAAAGGATAGCCCACTTCTTGTAATAGTAGTGTTGGAATCGGTGATAGCCTTGGCGTAAATGCGGTTAGTTCGCTATGGCGGGATATGAGCGAACGTTGCTGACTGGAAAGTAAAAATCATCTTTGCTTCGTTGCCCGCTCCTCGCCACCATAACAAGCTTGGAAGAGACACAACCTAAAAATAGCATTTTTTTAAAGACTTTTCTTGGTTGTACATTGTAAGTTAGCCCACTCCATATTTTCAGCCGATTTGCTCTTGATGTTAAGTGGGCTATCTCTCGGGATTTTACGGTACGTAATATTGAAACGGTAGTGATGCTTGCTTTGTGATCACTATGATATACACTGATGGGTTATATTACAACTTTGGGGAGATTCTTGGCTAAAGTTAAATCTGTAGGTATAATTCTTTACATATATAAAAGCTGCTCCTTTTATAAATGTAAAGCAGTGACGTCCTCGATGCGAGCGGGAGAAGGCCCATTTTTTCGGATGTATCTCCCTTATCACACGTTTCGACGCCTTTCCTTATCAGAATGCATATCGAGGTGACGGGGCGTGTCTGCATTTCCATACGATGGAGCGCTTTTACGTGCAATTTTTGTTTCTGCAAACGGATACCAAAAATGCATGGACAGCTAGCCATATAGAACTTATGGCTGTAAAAAAGTTGCGGTGGCTTAGCTCGGTTATGCCAGGATATACGTAGCGTGAGCTTATGCGCACAAAATGAGAGGCGCTATCAAGGGGCTCCGGTGCAGCGTCAGACTTGGCTACTGCGCAACGGAGGCGGACAGTTGGGCACGCGGCGGCGCCAGTGCGTCTGCCGCGGCGGCTATGACGTCAAAAATTCAAAAGGTCGAAATGGACGATTTAGTCATTTATACAGCGTAAGGTCGGTCTGCAAGTAGGGGCGACACTGGTTTACACTGTGGATGAGCAATTTCGCCAGTGCAGTATGACTGCTAACCTGGGGTCTTTAACGTGCTGACGCAGTAGTGATACACGACCGCACGTCGGTACGCTATCCTCATCCAGATCGGAACGGGCAGGGGTGGGGCTCGAACCCAGGATCCCTGGGTTCTGCAGGGCGAGCTTTCGCTCCGGCGCGCATCGAGCTGGGTGTGCGCTTAAGCCCACTCGGCCACCGATCCCCCGGCTACGACGTCACTCCTCTGGAATGCGCAGACCGGCGAAGCGCGCGCGGCGGCGGCGGAGCGCGCGGCGGCGGTGGCTCCGGCGCGCCAGCTGTGCGCCGTGTGACGTCACTGCTCTTCGCGCATGCGCAAACCGACGAGGCGCGCGCGGCGGCGGCGGAGTGCACGGCGGCGGCGGTTCCGGCGCACCAGCTGTGCGCCGTGTGACGTCACTGCTCCTCGCGCTTGCCCAGCATGGGTCTTTGACAGCCACGCGAAACTGCTCATCCTCGGCCAGCGTAGCTCACGCTAAAAAAAAGAAAAGAAAAGAAACAGCACTGTGATTATGCATTTTTGGCGATGCTTGGTGTCGGTGCGTGTAAGTATACTTGGACACGTGATCTTGTTTGGAGACAAGCTTGCAGCTGCCATAAGCTCTAAGATGATTAAGCAATATTATATATTTTTTTAATTCGCTTCAGTAAGAGGTCTCCAAGATGGCGACAATCTGGACCTCTCGAGACAAAACATAGGTGGCTGTTCATTCATGCCGAACTCTTTCAAGACACAACTTCAAAAACGGGTAAGTGAAGAGGCAGGTTGAAAAGAACTATGTTGATGTTTAAAATAGCCATGTACTCTGCGGGTAAGTGCCTGCTGACAGCGAGGGTTCACCAGGTTTCTGTCACACCTTCACTGTTGTTCATGGCAACTGATATGTTGCATTCAGATCCCCCTTTAAGCAGCACAACTATGGCTAAGCTCCCCTTTTTGTTTCCCTTCATCTCAATCGCTTTACTTCATCACTCTGATCTCACGAAAGCATCGGTTTTCTTGACATCACGGCGTCCTTTAACCTAACAATGTATAGATTATGAATGCTTCTATACACGTATACACGCTAAAGAACAACCAGTGGGGCTTTTTGTCCACAGCATTTTAATAAGTCAGTATTTTACTCGCTCCAGCTGGCGGGATAGGCTGCGACCTGGCACTTAGCCATGGCTTATAAGCCACGCTTTTTGAGATATATCCCGGGCTGTCTATCAATGGCCGCTCGGTGCATGCCGTGTTCATCTTCATCCGTGGCCATTTTTGTGCGTCAACTTTCTTTCTTCGTTTTCTTGCGTCTCCTTTCTCCTTATAATATGCGTACTATCACAACTTCCCGCCTGCCTGCACGAGCGTGTATGCGCGTTGTTGACTTTACGCGCACGTACGAGATTGGCTTCGTCATCGCACGTGCAGAGTCACGCTCACCCCACGAGGATTTCAATCATTGAGAACTTCTACCCTGCTCTTACCTTCCTCCCGTCTAGATCATCAGCAGTAACTGCGACCAGCTTTCGAAGATTAAACTGACGATCGCGTCGTGCATCACAACCGAACAACAGCTCACAAGTCTGCGGAACGTGATCAACTCCCACTTGAGGATTGTGAAAAACCTAATACAGCAGAGTCTACTCAAAACTCGGATCACCGAGATCACGAGGCTCTTTAACTCCATTCACCAAAAGTGAGTGTTTGGGATGAGGGGAGGGGGGGGGGGGGGGCAAAAACGTTGCTTTGAAAACATCTATCGTGCGTAATTGCGAGACTGCTTTCATAAAAGCGCCGTCGCACTGCGCATACATCATAAAAAAAAGACGCCGTGTTCACTACATACTGTAAACGACGTAAATTTCGCGAAGACTTCATTTTCGGGAATTTCGCGAATTGCCCACAGTTTGCGAAAAATAGGCCCCGCAAACAATTCCGGAAAAATGTAAACACATTGGTATCTACTTTGAGATCCCACACCGCGTCGGGAAAATTAGAACCCGCGAATTATTCCAAAACTTCAGCTTCGACGTAAATCGCGAAATATTGAGCCCGCGAAAAATAACTCGTTGACAGTAGTTTTGTCTGCATGATACGTATCTGTGCTTAGACCATGTCTAAAGGCAGATCTTTCTATGACCAGCGTGACATGGCCGTCCAACCAGGAAACAACGTGCTACAGTGGCTTAAAGGGGGTAGTGTAGTTATCGCGTAGCCTCCACCATGCCTCGGGAACGGTCGCTCCTTGGAAGACGATGTAGGTGGCGCTTCGATCCGCAGCTCCGTTGGGTGCCTCAATCGGCCGGCAGATAGAGGCACCCTAACACGCTTCATAACTAATATAAATACATCAAAAGCAATTATTTGTTTCCAGTGAACTTCCAACGACATGATTTGTGTTTGAAGGTGAATAAAAAAAACGTGAAACTAGCAGACGACAGTGTAGTCGACAGCTGCGAATCGGCCGGAGCTGGCCAGAGCCAAGCTGACCAAGCGGCCAAGCCAGAGCCATAGCCGGAACGACGGTGCTGCAAGCGCCAGCGCCACCCGCGGCCGTCTTCCAACGCTGTGCCGCTTCTCCGGTTTCGTTCGTTACACTACCCCCTTTAAGCCACTGTAAACGTGCCTCAGACAGTAAAGAGCGTTAAAAACCCGTTTTTGCACTTTGGATACGGTATAGAGGGCCCTCCGGTACAAACTGCGCACATGCGAGCCTTCTGCAGTAGTAGCACGTGTGCGGTTCGTACCGGAGGGCCCATCGTGTACGGTATCGGACGTTCAAGAACGGTTCTCTAAAACTCCCTCGTTTCTGCAGACTGTTTTGCGCGTTGTGTGTGTGTGTGTGTGTGGGGGGGGGGGGGGGGGCGGGACTTCGGTTTTAAAGGGGTATACTACTTCCGTCTTCCGTAGTAACGAGCATCCAATGAATGCGTCGAATAAACATACCAGAACATATGTTATCATATAAGCCTTGATACAGTGCATACTTAGTTTCACACTAAGTCCGACCACAGTCGACGCTTTACACCAACCCAGTGTTTCGAAACGAGCCCGCTTTGCCCCTCACCAGGGTGTGGGCACTGCGCCTGCGGACAAACCAAATTCTGGGGGGAGTGAAGTGTTAGCGCATGCGCAGTACCAACAGCAGCGCCATCTCAGTGGCCTGACGTCAATGAGTGTGACGGAACCGTGCGAACAGCGCCAAAAAATGTACCGTCATAACGTTCGCCTGTTTTTTTTTTTTTTTTCTGTGCGTATGCTTGGAGTTATTATACCGATCACGCACGATGAATGCCGTGTGAGCTTGCATTTTTGGTTGGGGGGTATTTATTATATGTGTTTGTTTTCAATTCTACGCAGGCGCGTCAGTTGTGAAGTGGACCTGAACGACTTCGTGCGAAAGGTGACCACGGGACAGATCACAAGCACCACGTACGCGCACAGCATCGTGCAGTCGATGCACAGGAGGCACGTGATTCCGCTGGACCGCATCCTGGGTAATGCGCACACCGTCATAGGGAGCGTGGTCAGCTTAATCCACAACGTGCTGGGGAACGTGAACCTGGGACACTTCTTCAACATCCTCGGCAACCATTTCGGCGGCTTCCGGATTCCTTTCGGCATCGCATGAGTCAGTTGCGGTTAGTGTAGTCACTCGAGACGACCTTCGCCTCGTCCGTCTCCGTCTCGACGACGGAATTGACAGGGTAATAAAGTTTGCGCTTGGCTGAAACGCTTAGGAGCCTTGAGCCTTTTTCTTTCTTTTATCGAGTCTAGTCGGGCGTTGAGACGGGAAGTCGTACGTACAAATGCAAAGAATCATGCGGAAATCGCGCGAACATTAGAACCTAAAAATTAATTTTACAATATTAAAAAAAAAAACATAAAAAAGAAAAACGAGAAAAGCAAAAAAAAATAAAAAAATTTCGGCCTTTCCACTTTGGTGAACTAGCGGAGCTGTTCGATGGAAGGTAATGGCCGGCCGCAAGTCGCCATCCAGAGTAGAAAAGGCTCCAGCCATCTATGAACGACGGCGGCAACCAGATACGTGGCTTGCCGCCGTCGCTCATAGATGGCGGTAGGTGTCTAGAGTTCGGTGTCTTTATTTCTTTGCGGGGGACGCGATCCTGGGGAAACTAGCCCTTAATAGCTCCACTGCAAAAAGCAACAGTGTTTACTGCACAGAAACCTTAAATGTGCTTTTAATAAACCACATCTTCCATTATCGTGCAGTAAATAATTTGCTTTCTCGAAATATAGCATGACAGAATTCGCAGATGTTACTAATTTCGTCCGATTTTCGGTTGATTTTATAAATTTTTCTTGCAGCCTTTTATGCCCCACTCACACGATCACAAAGGTACCTTTAGCTAACGGTTAATTCGGGTGGTTATTTCCCGGCGTATATTTTGCCCTATCTTCGGCAAGACCTTTCGCGCGGTCAAAGGCTGGCTGGTGCGCGCCGTTCGGGTGGCGGTTCTCAGGCGTGTGCGGCTGCAATATACCGGCACAGTTTGTACCCGAGCTCCGAGAGGTCGGGCAGCTTGTCTGCCACACTGTATCCGGTACCGCCATATCCAAATTGCGAAAGGAAAACGAAAGAAACAAAACTTGCCGATAGCGGGCCAAAGTAGAAAACGAATATATTGAGACAGACGCCCCCTTGTTCTCTGAGAAAAAAGAGCAAAAACAACGAAGATAAAAAAAATAAAGACAGTTAATTTTTTTTTTTAAGACTTCGTCTAGCTTGTGCGATATCAGTTTGCTTTGGGACGTAGCGTGTTATAACACCGCTTAAAAAAAGTATTTATAGTGCTGCAGGTCGGCACTTGACCGCGCATCACAACTTCAAAAAGGGCGGCGCAATGAAAAGTATGACGAATCCAGAAAAAGGTAATAAGAAGAGAATCGAATATAAACAGCAACGATGTTAAGCTTTCGGGGAGCCTCGTAAAATGGCAACAATTCTTCGAAAATCTAAACAAAATATGTAAAAATTTGACGTATACATATATATGCGCACCATACGGATTTATAATATACCCGTTGTTAGATTAGAATAACATAAAGGACGAACACCGGACTTGTCGTCTGGTTTTCGTCTTTTATGTCATTCTCCTCTAACACCATAACTTAACCAGCATGCTCCATTTCCACGAGTAATCTACCCTCTTATTAAGTTTATAATTTAAAAAATTGGGTTGTGTGTGTGTTTACAGCCTAGAACTTGGTCTGCCTCACAGGGGTGACGAGTCTCCCAGCTGTAGATGAGAAATTTAGCCAGTGCGGTACAATTGCTAGCCTGGGGTCTTTAACGTGCATCACGCAGTAGTGATACACGACCGCACGCCGGTACGATGCTCATCCAGATCGAAACGGGCAGGGGTGGGGCTCGAACCCAGGATCCCTGGGTTCTGCAGCGCGAGCTTTCGCTCCACGTGCTCCGAGCTGGTGTGCGCTAGACCACTCGGCCACCGAACCCCCTTTTTATTTTTTTTTGCACTTTTTTTAAAATTAAAAGTATGGGTATTTACAAAGTTTTAAAATGATCACATTGGTTGCCATACACTTATCATGTCAGTGAGCACTGTTTACAGGCGAGGACCGCGATTCACACACAAATTCAAAATGTATCTCGCTCAATCATTTCTCTGTAGCGTCACATGCACCCCATGCAGCCACTCGCGCAGTGGCCCGGGAATCCTTGTTTACCACTGAGCCTTTAGAGCGCGGTTATGCATACGCGTTCCAAATAGCGACCAACATTCAAGCCCTTGTTGTTCCGTCGCCTCAAGAAGGCTGCTCACGTACAGAAAGCCGTCGCAGAAGTGTTGCCAGGCGGGCTTGGATCCCTCTCGGACCTCCAAGTGATCCGTCCTTGACCGCCACAACGCATATAGACCGAGGAGTGCCAGCAGCTCCCATGCCCTACTCTGTGCACTGTCGCCGAAAAGCAGAAATTTCGCGCTCTTCCACTCTACGTAAAGATCTATCTGCAGCACTGCTCGAAGCTCTGCCCAAAAAAGCTCCGCATTCGTACAGTACAAAAACACATGTTCAAGTGTTTCGGGAAACGGACACAACGCACAATTTGTTGACCACGGTTCAAAGAAACCTTTTTTAACCAGCCACGTCTTGACCGGCAGTACTTCGAAATGGAAGCGTAGGAAAAAATTCTTGACTGCCGTTCTGACAGGATATCTACGTAAGCGACGAAATACATCCGATTTATCCACACTTCCCGGAAAGCTGCGATAGAGTGGGGGCGGTATGAGCAAGTCAACTGTGTCCCAGTATAGAGATTTCTTTTTAACTTTCTGCAGGTACTCGTCGTAAAAGCGGGCTCGGAAAAATTCCTTCGCCGCTGCTGTTTCCTGGTAAAACTTCAGAGCACGTGCTCGGAAGTCCCCAGTGCCCCGCTTGAGCCGCGGCCCCAAAACAAAACGCTTCCTCCCAGCTCCTTAAACGCAGAAATCACGAGAGGATTGCCTTGATCGCGGAAAAATAGGAAACGCTGTACTTTCAGCTTAAGTTCTACGTTTACAAGGCCCAACCCTCCTTTCTTCTGGCTTACAAATAGGTTGTCACGCCTCATACGTTCAAAACACGAGTCCCAGATAAACGTTGCGAAAAATCGATGCACCTTCGCCAAGTCACCTTGGGAGCACGGCGACACTTGCGCCACGTACCAAGCGGTCGAAAAAAAAAAAACAGAGTTACAAATAAATGCGCGATTGAACAAAGAGAGTTCCCTAGCATGCCAGTCAAGCACCTTACTTCTGAGGCGATTAATGTCCAAACCACCGCATCGGCCACTCAGTTTCTCTGCGGTCAAACTGAGCCCTAGGTAATTCGAAACGCTCGTCGTCCAGGTGACACCGAGGAACTGCACCGGTTTCAAGTCCCAGTCTCCAAGCCAGGCTCCGACAGATTTGTCAGTGTTCATCGCCGCACCCGAGACACTGCAGAAGTCTGCGATGTGTTGGGTTACAGCGCGCACTTGCATCCTTGACGAGCACAACACCGTGACGTCATCTGCGTAGGCGAGCACTTTAAGCGTACCCGACGCAAGGGACAGCCCACGAATGCTCGCGTTACCGATAATGGCCCTGCACAACGGTTCCAGGTACAATGCGAACAGAATAGGCGACATCGGGCAGCCTTGTCGCACGAATCGGGTAACTGCAATGGGAGCCGTCCTGTTGCCGTTGACCAGGAGCCGCGTCGTGATGTCACGGTAGCACAGCTGCACATATCGTAGCAGTCGCACCCCGATCCCACACTCCTCCATGAGCCGGAAGAGGAACGAATGGCGAACCCGGTCGAAGGCTTTGCTCAGATCTACCTGAAGCACTGCCACTGGAAGCTTCAACACCTGCGCTGCCTCGCACACGATTCGCATCGCGTGCAGGTTGGTGCTGATGGTCCGTCTCTTGATGCCGTAGGCCTGATGCTCTCCGACGACGTCCCGTAGACCCCACTCCAGCCGCTTTGCCAGAGTCTTGGCTAGGATTTTATAGTCGCTTGTTAGCAGACTGATGGGCCGGAAATGGTCGACCTTCGGGGTACCCTTTGAGTTTTTCTTCTGGATGTGCACCGTTACCGCCTGTCGCATGGATGGTGGCAGCAGTCCTCGCTTCAGTACGTCGGCGTATACGTCTCGTAGGATAGGACACAGCTGGGCTGAGAACGTCTTGTAGAACTGGCTACCGAGCCCGTCCACTCCTGGCGATTTGCGGGGAGCTAATTCCTTGATGGCTTCCTCGACCTCTGATGCCGTTATTTTCCGGTTCATTTGTTTTCGGACCTTTGGGGATATCTTGGGCAGCGCCACTCCAGTCGTTTGGAGAACGCCGTCATCCTCCACTCTCGTGAACAGGTCGGTGTAGGCCTGCAAAAACGCGTCTTCGATTTCTTCTTGCCGGGTAACCTCGACGTCGCCTACTTGGAGCTTCCCGATCTTGTTGCGTGAAGCGTGCTGGCGTTCCTTCGTCTTGAATATTTTGCTCGGCTCTTCATCTCTCTCGAGGAACAGCGTTCTGCTTCGGACCATGGTACCGCGGTACTCCTTCTCGAGAAGCTCCAGAATATTGCCTTTGCAATCGCGGATATCTTGACTGAAGAGTCCCGGGGAACGATTTTCCTCTGCGATGAGGATTTCCAGGGTCTGCATCAAGCGGCGCTTTTCCGCCCTTTCGCGCGCCGCTTTTTCCTGGCTGTGCCGGAACGCTTTGAGCTTGACGTCTTCTTTCAGCTCCTCCCAGGTTACCGCGTTCATGGGCGCACCTCCCGTTTTGCCCTCGAGAAGCTCCTTTATCTGCGTGCGCAGTTGTTCGTCTTCGATGAGGCTTTCGTTTAGCTTCCAGCTACTCCACCAAGAGGACTTCCGGGTTCGCGGCAGGGGTCTGCCCAGCGTTACCGTGACCAGAGCGTGGTCCGAGAACGCCAAGGGTAGGACTTCTAACACAGGCGTCATTGCTGAAAATTGTCCCGAGAGGTAAATACGATCCAGTCGAGCATGGCAATTTCCTTGCCAATGCGTGTACGTTGGGTCGGCTGTTTTCTCGTTGTCCTTAGCATCCCCCAGGTCGAAGTCGCGGAACAGTTTTCGCAACTCCAGCCAGCTGACGT